CCTCTTGCCCTTTCCCCCCAGCCTCTCCCCCCCGCTCTCTCTCCCCCCTCTCTTCGCCCCAGAGTCTCTCTCTCCCCCCTTCTCTCTCTTCGCCCCACAGTCTCTCTCTCCCCCCCTTCTCTCTCTTCGCCCCACAGTCTCTCTGCGAGGCTCCTTAGCGGTGGCGGCATTTCCCGCCCCCCAGCCTTGACGTTTCCCGGCCGCCCGCCCGACTGGCTCCGTGGCAGTGGTGGCGGCGGCGAGGCTCCTTGGCGGCGGTTTTCTCCCCCTCTAACCCTCCTGGCCCTGACGTTTCCCGGCCGCCCGCCCGGCTGGCTCCGAGGCGGCGGTGGCGGAGAGGCTCCTTAGCGGCGGCGGCTGCAAGTCCCCCCTCACCCCCCTGGCCCTGATGTTTCCCGCCCAGCTGGCTGGCTCCGAGGCGGCGGCGGCGAGGCTCCTTAGGCTCCCTTGCCACTCAGCCCCCCCCCCTCGCTGCTCGCCGCTTCCCTTTCAAGCAGCGGCGACGGCAGCCTCGGTTGCCAAGCGTTCTGTGCGCATGTGCACGGAACGGTCTTGCACTTTTGGGGGGATTTAAACATCCCCCCGAACATTTTTTTCAAGGTTTAGCATTTCTGTGCACACGTGGGGACTGGCCCACGTGTGCACAAACCTCCCCCCCCCAAGTGCCCCCGGAGCGCTGATTTAGCGATCCGCACTCACGGGGTCAACTTGGCTATTAGATATATAGATATACCGGAGGATGTTTGATTGTACTATTAAATGAGCATAACTTGGTGCAGATGTTTAGGCATTGGCTGGGGACATAGGACACGGCATACAGGGGTGGGGTCCCTGCATGACCCTAAAAAAGGGGGATCAGGGACACAGCAACCAACTTTGGGACTGGAATGTTGATCATGTCCCCAAGAGGTGGTAGCGGGCAGGAACAACCTTTTCTGCTGCTTCCAGCCCTAAGACTAGCTTTCTTTCCTTGAGGGTTGGGGGGGTTCACCATCAGCAGTTGACCTGTTAGCTGCACCCCATTGTGCCTAGGATGTGCAACTATTTTTTGGGTTGCGTCTATTGGACCCGGAAAAAATTAGGTATTTCTGAAAAATTGCAGATCCAAATAATGGTATGGCATTTGGAACTGGGATTTTTTTTGGAAATCCTGATTTTTTTTATATCCAATAGACCTGAACTGAAAAACATCGGTTTTTTTTTAAAAAAGTCAGCCCGGGTATGGCATTTGGAACTGGGATTTTTTTGGAAATCCTGATTTTTTTTAATGTCCAATAGACCTGAACTGAAAAACACCGGCTTTAAAAAAAAAAAGTCAGCCCGAGCCCGAGGCTGGCCCCAGGATCTGCGTGTGGCAGGGAAGTCTCTGCAGGAGAAGCTGGCCCCA